AGAAGTTGTCAGTTCCCGTGGCAAGTCGCTTCTGTGCTCTCTCCAGAACTGCATTCTAGACTCTGCTTTTAAGGCTAGACAATGGCTGATGGGTCTCTATTCATACCACTTTCTCAGTGTTGCCTAGCCATACCAAGGAGAAAATCATCTGAAAACAGGTTTCAGGGAAAGCAAGCTGAAAAATAAACCAGTAAAATTGGTAATAAGCTTCTTTAAAGGAAAGGACAAACACTCTTTTTTGTGACTTTCCAGTAAGTGAAGATACACAGTGGCAAGCTGAATCCAAGAGGAACTGGATTCTGTTCTGCTATAGATGAGGAAGCAGAAACACAGAGATATCAGGAAAGCATGTTTTGGTAGCCATGCAGAGCCACCAGAGAGAGGAAGGGGTCTTCTTGCAGTCTCTCAATCATGCAGGAAGTCACGACCATTATTGTTTCTAGCAAAGAACCTAGGATGACCTGATGGCCACACTTCTCAAACCCCCATCTTTCAGCCCTGTTTCTCTGCAGTGGCTTCTGACAGTCACAGTACAGAAGGCATCCTCTGCAACTCCCTGGAGTGCTACTGCACTGGTGGGCAGCCAGCACATGACCAATAATCTATCTGCCCCAAGTTCCATCAGCCTTTTCTGCTATTAATCACGTAATCTGATAGCTCCTTGTTTCAGCTACTCCAAGAATATGTTTTAATTCTAAGCACGTTAGCAGTTGTGGGAAAGGGAACAGTAAAAGACCAACTGTACTCCTGTGCTCACAAAATCACAGAATAGTTTGGGTTGGAAGGAACCTTTACAAATCATCTAATCCAACACCTCCTAACATGGGCAGGGACATCTTCAACTATATGAAGTTGTTCAGAGCCCCATACAACCTGACCTTCAATGTTTTATGGGATGGGATATCTACCATCTCTCTGGGCAACCTATTCCAATGTTTCACCACCTTCACCATAGAAAATTTCTTCCTTTGTCCTAACTAAACCTCCTGTCTTTTCAGTTTAAGTTCCCCCTTGTCCTGTCTCAACAGGACTTTGTAAAAAGTCTCTCTTGATTTTTCTTATAAGCTCCCTTTAAGTATTGAAAGGCTGCAATAAAATCTCACTGTAACCTTCTCTTCCCCAGGATGAACAATGCTCTCTCAGCCTTTCCTCTTAATAGAGGTGTCCCATCTCTCTGACCATTTTGTGGCCCTCCTCTGATCCTGATCCAACAGGTCCTCCATGTCCTTCCTATGCTGAGGACACCAGAGTTAGATGTCACCCTCCAGGTGGGGCTTACCAAAGCAGAGTAGAGGGGTGGAATCACCTCCCTTAACCTGCTGGCCATGTCTTTTTTGATACAGTCCAGGATAGGGTTGGCTTTTTAAATTATGAGCTTGCGTTCAGCCTTTCATCCACCAGTACCTCCAAGTCCTTCTTCACATCGCTGGTCTCAATCCCTTTATCCCCTACTCTCTACTGACAGGGGATGGCCCTGACCTAGGTACAGGGCCTTGTACTTGGACTTTGTTGAACTTTATGATGTTCACACAAATCCACTCTTCAAGCCTGTAAAGGTCCCTCTGAATGGCATCCCTTCCCTCTAGTGAATGAACTGCACTACTCAGATTGGTGTCATCTGCAAATTTGCTGAGGGTGAACTCAATCCCACTGTCTACATCCTTGATAAAGATACTAAACAGTACTGGTCCTAATATAGACTCCTGAAGGATACCACTCATCACTGATCTCTATCTGGACACTGAGCCATTGACAACTACCTTCCGGATGCGACCATCCAGCCAACTTCTCATTCACCAAACAGTCCACGCATCAAATCCATATCTCCCCAATTCAGAGAAAATGATGTTGTGGGGGATCATGTCAAAGGCCTTACAGAAGTCCAGATAGACAACATCTGTAGCAACTCCACTGAGGTAGTTAGTTTATCCTAGAAGGCCACTAGGTTGGTTCAGCAAGATCTGCCCTTGGTAAAACTGTGCTGGCTGTCTTGAAACACTTCCCCTGCCCTTGCTGTACCTTAATATAGCTTCTAGGAGGATCTGTTCCACGGTCTTCCCAGGCACAGAGTTGAGAGTGACAGTTTGGTAGTTCCCAGGGTCCTCCTTTCTACCATTTTTAAAAACAGGTATAATGTTTCCCTTTCTCCATCCCCTGGGGACTTTACCTGACTGTCATGACTTTTCAAATACCATCAAGAGTGGCTTGGGAACTGCATCAGCCAGTTCCCTTAGGATCAGGACTTTGGGATACATCTCATCAGGTCCCATAGATGTATATATGGTCACGTTCCCCAGTTACTCTCAAATCTGATCTTTTCTTACAGTGGGACTTTGCCCCCCAGTCCCTGGACTGAGGTCCATCCACTCAAGAGGTGTGGGAAGAGAGACTGTCAGTGAAGACTAAGGCAAAAAAGTTAAGCACCTCAGCCCTCTCCTTACAAGTTACCAGTTTGACAGTTGTGTTCATCAGGGGGACACAATTTCTTTGACCTTTATCAGCATACTGGTTTAGATGTTAATACTACATACTGATGGTGCACAAGAAGTTATATTGAATTACCTATATAATTTCATAGAAAAAAAAAAACGTATTTCACTCATATATACTGCACTAGTCCAGGACTGCACCAATCCCTTTAATTTGAAGGCTACATTTCGAAGAGACTGAATACTTTATAGTTCCACTTCCTCCACTTTTCTCAACTTTTGTAACCCATCAGATTCAGGTAGCACAGAACTGGTGAAACATCTACTTAATCACAAAGACTTCAACACTCTACAATCCCCATATTTCATAGCAATAACCACCAAACACACAGCTTCTGACTGTTAACACCCATACAATTATGTCTATAAGAATGACAGCTGATGTGGTCTGGACACGGAAACATTCACAGGCTCCAACCATTCGAGTGAAACCACCCTTTTGCTCAATGCAAAATAATTCTTATGTTACCGTTTTTTCTTAGGTTAATATTTCTGCCTACACAGTATCTTTCAAGCTAGTAAGGCGCAAGGGTAAGCTCTCAGTAACTTCAGTTTTGCTGGAGGGAAGATCTATTGCGTACCCATTTGCATCAGCCATCAATTTTTATGCTTGGAACAATACCTACATAAATTATTTAGCAATGTAACAAACTGACAATTACATTACAATAAGCATTGCTCATGCATAACCCAAAAGCTCTTCAAAACATAAAGGAAATACACCATATTACTTTCAGAGCAAACTTCCATATCCTCTCCCACCAGCATGCCTCACCCAGAGCTATAACTTCTAGAACAGATTCATGGCCAGGGAAATCCCTGAACTAATACATTTGATAGCGTAAAGCATGATCATTTTTGTATGGGATGTGGTATAAAACTCCCTCACCAGACTGAAGAGGCAAAGTAATCATGCAGGAACAACTACCAAACTACTAAGCTAAAGCAAGTTTCAGATCCATGAGTCTGACTCAGCACCAGTGACCTGAGAGGAACAGTGCAATAATAATGAACAGTGCTGCAATAATGAAACATGCTCACTTTCAAGCTCATTTTCTTGAAGGACTTCTAGAAAGACAATTATGTTTTTTACAAAATGTGTTTCAAAAGCTTTGTTTGAAGCTTACACAGCTTAACATTTATAGTATTAAAAAAACCCAAATTCTCTGGATAGCAGGATTCACTGACAGAATTACTATTAAAGAAATAAAAAAACCCTCAAACGACTAAAACAGACTAAAAATTTATATTGATATGAAAAATCCTACTTGTGGGATAAGCACATCTTAGAAATAATTCTGTCACTTCAACTATCCTGCCCAAGCTGGACATGCTGGAACCACTCAGCTGGAATATTTGAAAGCTGGTTTCATTCCCCAGAATCATGCAGACATGTTGTAGGGAACCACCCACATTTAAGTTCAGCTAATCAGAAATATTAATGCAGTTACACTCCTATATTAACACATCTGAACTGGTTTACAAGGCTTACAAATACTTGCCAAAGAATAAACACCATTAGCATCAGGTAGATGCACTTGCTTCACCCAACTATGCCTACATGGATCAATCTTCTGGCAATCCTACAGAATTAGACTTTTTTTCCCTAGTATTTCTCAACAGGTCAGAACTACTGAATGAGTAGATTTAACAGAAGCTAGCTTTGAATATCCATCTTCAGTCAAACGCCTTGGCGTTCCCCTAGCAACAGGCGGAAAAGTGTTAAAGCCCAACAGCTCCATGGGACGAGAAAAACACTGAGGTCAAAAGGATCTCTGAAAATCGTGCAGACTAACTCCTCTGCTCAAGCACGGTCTGGTACATCAGGCTGCCCATGACCATGTGCAGTCAGGTTTTGAGAACATCCAAGGATGAAGACTTCACAGTCCTCTGGGCAACATGTGCCAGTGCTTGACTCCCTTATGCTAACAAAAAGGTTTCATCTTATTTTTAAATGGCATTCCATGTATTGTGATGTGTGCCCATTGGTGTCTGTCACTGAGCACCAAGGAGGAGAGTCTGTCTCCTCCTCCTTCATTCCTTCCATCCACATTATTTGTACATAGCGCTGAGATCCCCCGAAACTTCTCCAGGCTGACCAGTCCCAGCTCTCTCAGCCTCTCCTCACGCAAGAAGTGCTCCAGCCTCCTCATCACGTTTGGCTCCGCACTGGGATCGCAACTCGCAAGCCCCTAAGCTTGACCTGGCCTCAGCACCCACACGAGCCTCTTAGTGGGGCCGGGCGGCAAGGAGCCACGACCTCTCTACCCGCTGGCTACGCCGCGTTAGCCACTGCTGCCACCGTCACTGCCGCCACTCCACAGTGCGACTCTCGCGTGCGGCAAGAGAAGCCCGGACAGGCCGAGGCCCCCCGTCCTGCGCCTCGGGGGTCAGGGCACAGCACGCCAGAGCACGACAGGGCGGCCTTGCATCGCGGCCCCTCAGGCCAGCACCTGCACGGCGGCCTGGCTCCTGGCGCGGCCCCTGCCGCACCGCAGTCCCGCCGCTCACCGTGTATCCCCGCTCCAGCTCACTCTCCTCGTAACGGAAGGAGGGGATGTACACCTCCATGGCGGGGCGGGCCGGGCCAGTGACACCGACTCCCCGTCAGGGCCGACGACTCCCGGCGAGCGGGACCGCCGCAGCCATCTGCACGCAGCACGTGACGCCGCGCATATGACGCGGGGAGGGGCGGAGCGGCGCGGAGCGGCTTTTGGTCGTGGGGTGGTGCAGCCGTTTCCTTTGTCTCCTCACGGTTGAAGGCACAGGTCAGCTGCCAGACGGCGGGAGGGGCAGGCCGCAGCCCCGCCGTAAAGGTGTGCGAGGAACCGGTGCCCGCAGGGCGAAGGGAGGAGCCTTCCGTCGCGGCGGTGCTCGCCGGGCAGCAGAGCCGCTACGGCACCGTGGGGGAAGGGCAAAGGTAGCCAGCTCTGGTGGGAGGGGTGTGAGGTAAAAAGACCGCAGGTTCCTCTAAAACCAGTGCCTTTTAACACAAGGTTTGAAAGCAGTGGCTTTAACGTGACAGGGCAGCTGCGTTGCTTTGAAGCACAATAAAACGAGGAGAAAATAGAAAAAGGATGCGGATCCAGTCCAGAAAAAGGGTGTGGATCCAGTCCTAAATCCACACCACGGCTCAAACTATTCCCGTGCCTTCTTGGGCAACCAACTCTTGGTAGCTGTGCAAACACAGCGCCTTTCATGAATGCCAGTTGTGAACTGGTACATGAAGTGATGGGAGAGGGGAGAAGCTGAGTGCTGAGGGGTTTCCCGTGTTGTGGCTGTTCCTCAGAAGCAGCCTCTTACTTCATTATTTGATAGAGCAAATGCCCCATCCCTGGCAATGTTCAAAGCCAGGTTGGATGGGGCTTTGAGAAACCTGTCTTGTAGAAGGTGTCCTTGCCCAGGGCAGGGGGCTGGAACTGGATGAGCTTTAAGGTCCCTTCCAATCCAAATCAGTCGATGATGCTATGAAGCTAAACCATTTTAAAGAAGTACAGATGATTTCTAGTCTTTGGGCAAATTAAATTAAACTTCCTCCCCCAAATAAGCAGCTGTGTTGACGATTTAAGAAGTAATGGAGGAAAAAGCAGGAGGTAGAATACTAGATTCATTTAGTAGGCAGGGATGTTGTACAGGGTAGCACTCCCACCTCACATTTGCAAGTTTGCTAACCCCAAGCTCCAAACCATTTGGAAGCACTTGAAAGCAAACCACGGCTGCACTAAATGCAGCACCTTGGAACTCACCCTGTAAGGTTTTATGAATACTGTAGAGTCTTGGAGGCTAAATGGTTAAGATGTGCAACGTCACCATTTCCCACTGGTCTTGTAAGAAGTAGCTACCATTACAAATTTATGTGCATGCCGGGTTTGATTTTGCAAAAGCAGAGTGAAGTATAAAGACATACCTCAAAAATGACAGAAACCAGCTGATTACTTTCATCTAACCTCTGTGGTTATGCTATCTCAGTGCTTCTAAGATCAAATTTTGAAACATCTGAAAACTAATTTGCTTCCTGCTAGACTAGTAACATCAGGAGGAAAAATGTTACAAGCTCTCCATTTCTCATTGTTTGACTACCAGTTACATTTAATTATATTGTGCTCTAAGCAAAGACCTGTGACCTGAAGAATTCAATACAAAATAGAAGGATTTTGACTAAAACCAAGATAACTAAAGCAAACTAACACTAGCTGTCTTTGCTAAACTTTGTTAATACAAAGTAACAACCATACATATAAAAAATTACCTGAAGTCAAAGTAAGATGGTCCTGGTGCATTTGTTTCTGCACAACACTGCTGCTGAGCCAGTGTCCTCAACTGCTGGTGACCAGCAGAACAGTCCCAGTGCTGCTCTGTGCTAGCGGTGACAAGAGTGAACAGGTTTCCAGCCCCATGTACTTCCTCTGTAGGAACCACGTCCTTGGAACACAATGATGACTGAAGGGAGTCAATAAGAAATCCCATTTTCACCCAAAGCATGACTGATAAGTACATTACAATCATCCCAAAGATAAGACTAGCCATATAATAATAGTCTAATCGGTCTTGTAAATGTGGGCATGCTAGAGAATAATTACCATGCTATCATTATTGCTAGTTTCTGGTTAAGACTCCAGTCTTCAAGCTTAGTTTCTGTTCTTCTTCTAATGGAAAATGAATGTACAATTCTAATTACACTATTTGTGCTGTAATGCATTTATGCTGATGAGAAATCAGTGAAAAATTTCACGGAGCACTATTTATGGTTGTTTGCAATCTAATAACCAATTATTTCAAGAAAAAGCTACTTTTCTCCCTAATGCCATGTAACTTATTAACAGAGAAAAGTTTGAGACATTAATCTGGTTTCAAATTCGATAGCACATAATGGAACTTTTGACTGTGCATCAGCCAAGAGGAACAAGGAAGATTACATGGTGAGCTGAATTCAAATACATCAATATGTTTTGGAATGTTAAATACTTAATTTGCACAATACATCATCATTAGTAGGCTAATCTTTAAAGTTACATCTAAAGAAAAGATAGGATTTCTCCACATGGCTGACTGGCCAAGGATTTTCTTTCTGTCTCATACATCGAGGATCAAGAATGTAAGAAACATTCATTCACAAAATGCTATCAGTGTGTGCTGAAAACCATCCAGGATTCTTCATTTTGAAAGTTAATTGCACAAATGATACAGTGATTCCTACAAGCAACAAAGCAAGGAGAATATATTTTAAATGTAGCTTGATTTGAACCAGTGTAATGTATAAACTCCTTTATTAAAAGCAAAACTGTAAAAGGGTTGAGCTTTACTGGTAACAATTACATAGGCTGTCTTCAAATTCAGCTGTTGAGCAGGCCCCAGAAGATACAAACTGCAGGTGTTGGTCTTCAATGCTGGTTTTTGTCACACGTATCAGTATCTTGGGTTATATTCTTAAGTTAACTTGATCCAGAATGTAAAATAAATTAATAAATATCATAGAATCACAGAATCATAGAATGATTTGGGTTGGAAGGGACTTTAAAGGTCATCAAGTTCCAACCCCGCTGCTGTGGGCAGGGACACCTTCCACTAGAGCAGGTTGCTCAAAGGCCCGTCCAACATGGTTTTAAAACTGTACTCCGGTTTTAACCACTGCCTGTCATTAGACTCTGTCTTAACCTTCCATGATTAGAGAAACACCGTCACTGTTTAAAATAAGGTCCAATCAGTGAAGTATGCCACACTCAAATAAATGACTGTTTAATAATTTATTGAATTTAAATAAGAATGTGGCATTTTCACAACCAAACTTTCAGATTATCTAAAAATGAAATACATTTTGGAAAACAAAAACCCTCCTCTCTTTGTTGGCCACTTATGTGTTTCTTTTTCCCAAAACTGTTACTGTGCAATTCCTCCAACAGGGGGAATAGGGGGTGAATTCAGCATCCATAATGCTGTAAGTATTCATGGGAGCAAAAAATGGAATGAACAGAGTCAACTCTGAAAGATCAGTTTCCACTAATCTTCATGATTCAAGGACTTTCTGAATGGCTAATTTCCAGAATAGGAGTAGGCAAAGAAATGCACATAACAATTCTAATCAAAGTGATAAGTAATGTACACATCAAAACAGGAGGCCAGATTAAAATAAGAGATAGTCCTTAATAAGATTGTTAAATCACAACCTCAGTTTGCCAATTTTTCAGTTGCTACCAGAAAGACTGGTTTTAAGTAAACTTGTATCTCACTGTACACCTACAGATACTGGTCTCCTAAGTAAATAGTAGCAAGATTGAGCATACTAGATAAAACAGCATTTTCTCTATTCTCTTTTAGGAAAAAAAAAAAAAAAAGCCATTTAAATCTCTTTATTCCATTAAAGATTTAGACGGCTTTTTTTTCTAAAAGAGGTGTAGTTCTTTCTAAAACATCACACAGCACTTTAATCAGCTAGTGAGTACAAACAAGACCACTTGGAAAGAAGACAGGCAAAATCATAACTTCAGACAGGTCAGTCAGTTTTCTGCAGGAGTTCACAGAATCAAATACAGAACTCAGTACTTCTAACAGCCTCACTGTTTGGACCTGGTAAGTAGGTAGTTTTCTGAACAGCTCAAGGCGTGAGCACTTGGGTGGCTGGGGCAAGGTGGGGAAGTCAATGTGTTAGTACCATGTAAGGTAACCACAGGTTTTTATATGGTGCAGTGCTCCTCTGTCTTGCTGAGACCTCCCACAGAAGTTCCACATCAGATGTGAGGCCAAGGCAAAGCATTTCCTCTCTCATGATTTGCGCTTTCTTCCTTGTGCTTTCCTTATCTTGATTTCTCTAAACCACTTGGTTTATTTCATCTATCCTTGCTCTCCCATTTTCATTGCATATTTATTTTATTTTAGTTTTCAAATACCCTGCAAGAAGGATTCTGCCTAAGCTGCCTTCCATACTCTTCTGAGACTCTCTTTCTTAAGGACAAATTTTCTTAATGACAGAAAACAGATGTAGTGTTTTAGCAATCAAGTAAAAAATTATTTTACTTATTAGCAAGCTCATTCAACTATAGAGGACAAAAATTAAAAAAAAAAAAAAAAAGAAGAATCCCCTCAGCAAGTAACCAGTAACATTCTGAACAACCTGAAACTTCAGGTCCTTACATGTTTTAATATTGAACTTTTTGTTGTTGTAATTGATTCATGTTTTGCCAGAGATTCAAAGTATTACCTTAGGAGAGGTAAAAAAAGGAATAATTGATAATGAAGCAGAATATTCCATTTTAAAAGGGACAGTGACTAAAGAAACAGAGACTTACTGTGGACTGAACATCCGTTTAAGGAAGATGTAACTATGTGTTCAGTTTGAGCCATATCATGTCATATATTTTTAATTCAGAAAGAAGAAAACCCTACACAACTCAATTCTCATTTTCAGTTGACTAGTGTAGAAAAAGAAAGTCATGTTAATCCCTGCTAAAAGACTAATGTGAAAGCTATTTCTCATTCTCTTATCAGAGAGAAGAAATCTGATCCATAATTCAACTGAATTTTAGTACTGATAGAAGACAAAAAAATAAATCAAGAGCTAAGAAAGCTCAGTAAAACACCTAAAGAAAAAGGTCATGAAAGTATATGTTTACCCAT